TCTTTCCCTCCAAACAGACATGGCAGTCTCACGCTTCATCCTGACATTTAGGCAGCTTTAGCTCAGGCCACTGACAACTTTTTAAGGTAAATTGACATATTGCATGTAATGCTGTAATTTGTGGGTAGCCAGATTAGAGAACAAAGGCGAAGTTAAATATTTATTTCAGCCCATGTCACTTAGGAGATACACCTCCCTATTATGAATTAATTTCCTAACAATTCCTTACCAGTATTTCATGTAAATTTCAAATTCATTGATATTTCCAACTATGCGTTGATACCTGCCATGTGTAGCAAAACCATGGCAAAAATAAAAACCAAGATACTAAAAACATATCTTAATTAATTTGTGCTTTACTGCATGCATTACAATAAAAAGTAAACGTGAAGTACAAAAAGCACATGAATTACACAAAAAATTGTTAACAAACTCAAGCTAATAATTTCACACACAACGTGTGAGACACATCACTAAAATGTTACTGTTATTTCAGTGGTTTGTTTACTATGCTAATCTAAACTTTTTCCATGTATTTTCAAGTTGTACTTATAAATTTGAAGAAAGCATGGGTTTTTTTCTGACTTACTTTTGGTTTAGAACTGTGCTGCTTTTTTTCCTGTTTTAATGCATTGCTGTCATAGAAAGTAGGTACTAATACTTGCCAAGCTAAAAGAAAAATGTTTGAATGTTTCTTCTCCTCAGTCCTTCAGAAACAAGATAAAATTTCTTCCAGTTCCCTGGTGGCATTAACAGAAAGAGTGAACACATTTCCTATCAGTTTATATTCTAGTTTAAAATGTAATCTGTATTTTCACGTGACTGCTGGTGCCATTTTTTTCTACAGGGAAGTATATTTTATTAATGATCATGTGCTTTTAATTGGTTATTGATAAGTGAATTATTCATAATTGCAGCCATGCTCCAAGGAAAATGCTGGTGAGTTTGAATGAAACTGAAATAATTTTAGCAGCCAGGCCATTAGTATTAGCTTATTATCAGAAGGACATCTCCTTTGCTAATGGAAATAAAATTCCAGAAAGAGAGAGAGAGGGAAGGGGTTAAAATTCAGTCTAAAGGAAATGTTAGTACATAGTTAATTTTGAACACATGTATTTTTATTCCATCAGCTACTGTCAGTATGAAGCTAAGTGATGAAATGCATCAGAAGAATACATTTCTGTTTAAGTAATTGAGCTAATCTAAATTCTGTCAATTATGCAAATTTATTCAGGGCAGAAGAAATTTTGTATTGTAAGTGTTACATAGCATGGGCTTTGATCAACTGGTAGTTTGAGTCCACAAGCTAGGTTTTGTTTCCCTGCTACAGGCAGACCTTGCATTGAAACAAAGGAAGGGTTGTCAGGTTAAAGTACCCTTTGCATTCATTGCAAAAAAACAGTAGTAACACTTTTCCTCAAAATACTAAATTGGTACCTTCAGTTCTTTCTTAGAATTCCACAAATTTTACATTCTCAGATTAAACAGATTTGTTTAATCAAAACCAACTGACTGAAAACATTTGTATTAGTAAATCTTTGTGAACAATCTGTGTGAAAATGGATTTGTATACTGAAACTATTGGAGGGGTAATTCACCAGGTCAGACTATATGCTGTTGCCATATCCACCACAGAAACAATTCCTTTGTCCAAGGAATGTTATTAATGTCCCTGGAGCCTTCCTCATGTTGCCAAGTGAATTCAATCTTACTTTGATCTTAGTCATTTTTCCCCTTAAAAATTGCATAACATTGAGTAAGGGTTCCTGGACTGGCGTGGGGTAGTTTCCTTGATCTGCTTGCTGTCCACTCCTTCACAACAATTTTTACAGATGAGACAAAAAGAAGTTGGTAGCTGTGAGTTCTGGTACAGGAACTATGATAAAGATAGCAGACATAACAATGGCATAAGGAATTTACAAGGTTATAATGCTACTAGTTTCACTTTTACATTTCAATTTAAATTGCTGATAGTCAAACAAAACCAACCTCTCTTCATATATTACTGCCAACAATTTAGAAGCAAATTTTGTGATGACTGCTCTAAAAATATGAAGTGTTTCTGGGCCAAATGAATACTGTAAGATTCAAGTAATAAGGC